CCCCAAAACCCCAAAACCCCAAAACCCCAAAACCCCAGACAGTGATATGCAACTTGAAGTTCAAATATAAAAACTAAAATTATAAAATTTTGTAATTTAGTCTATTTCACAAAAATTAGAGATATTTTGAACTGAGAATTTTAGGAGATTACAAAATTAGAATATTAAGAGGAGAATTGGACAGAATGTTGGATAGAAGAATTAATTAATACAGAGCCTTGCTTTGAGAAACCTCCTTTAGATTTGAGTGAATTGTCTGAAAGGGGATTCTACTCTGTTTAATTCTTGTAGTGTGGGTTTATTCGAATTTAATAATGCCAGATCCTTTGCGACCTAATAATCCGATGTGTCCTTCAACATATTCAGATGAAAGGCTACTGTCGGTCTAAATTGTTTTACTTTAAACCTTACTATTCCACTTGGAGGAGAGCTTGTTTCGTATGAAATTCCGGAGATATGGTTATTGGCCTGTGAAGTTGTCGACAAAAGTAACTAAAATAAAATATGAAAATAATTCAAGCTAAAAAATCATTATTATTCCTAAAGGTTTATCAGCAAGTGACTAAGCTCTTCTATTATTATAGGCAAACTTCACTTTTGATTCCAACAGATCAAGAGTGAAAGACATTAACGAACACATAAAGACTCCCAACAACAACTCTTCAATTAAAGACTTATTGGACAAACTAAAGAATAGACATTAACAATGATTAACGAGTTTTAATTTCTATGTACTTCCAGAAATGTATATTAGTGAAATTGCTTGGCTAATTTCGGTTAAAAATAAAATAATAGTGAAGTCTTCTTGAATTATTTCTAATTCATTTGATATCCGGAAACTCTCTCAATCACAAAATTGAATTTAATTCAAACAAAAGTCTTTCAGAAGTTACCTTCTTCTCAAATTCTGGAGCTTTATCCTTTTCCATGGGTTTTAGGTTCTTCTTTAACGTGTTCTTTTCTTTATTAATCATTGTTATATCTTCCTTATTGTATTTTGTTCTGAGAGCTTTGGGTACTTTAATCATACGAGGGGGTTCTTTTGACTCCTCTTGAAGTTTCATTCATTTCTCTAAAAGATTAGGAAAATATACTTTTATTAGAAGCATTCTCTAATTTTAACTCTTTAATCTCAAATTTTAATGAATCAATATTGTCTTTGCGTTGCTTATTTTCTAATTTTATGTCTGTATTTATTCTAAGTAAATCTGAAATTTTGATCTGATGTTCTTCTATTTCTAACTCCATTTTATTAATTCTATATTCTTCTTCAGTGCATGGAAACTTTGCATTAAAATATCCTTGTGGGAATCTAAATGGGTTTACTTCCTTTGCTCACTGAAGATCCTCTTCGTGCTAATATTGAATGAGATTAGGAATACGTACTATTAAATCTGTGAAAAATTGTTCATCCTCAGGGTTGGAATAACCTAAATTTATGAAAATTATGTACAGATTGTGATTCTTTTATCTTCCATTTCTGTTTTATTTTGTTTGATGTAATCTTTCACAGTCTATATTTGTTCAAATTTATTACCTTTATCACTGTGTGAGCATATAATTCTACTGGAAATTTAGATTTCTCAGTACAGAATGAAGGAATTAAAATTGAGTCTATATGAATGGATGAGTCTTATATTTCAATAAAGAGGTTTATTATCATTATATGATTTTGCAACTTATTATACTAACTTAAATGTATTAAACTCAGCATAAATGTGGTTAAGAGTTAATAATTATAGGAAAATTATCTACTCTGATATTAAAATTCTAATCTCGAGTTTTTGCAAAATGAGCTATTAAATAATATGAAAGGGTTTGTTAATAAATATGCTTTATGATTTTATTTTTGGTTAAAATTTATGAAAACTTACTCAATCCATGAAGTATTGACAGATATAATATTCTTTCAATAGTCTTGTTAAGGAAAAAGATCGACCCCAATTTGCCAACTTCTTCTTCATGATGGGGTCAAAATGCAGCAATAATTTTATCATATTTCAAGTTTCCAGCTGGAAACACTACTGCATCTCCCACTTTTATACTCTCTTGTTGCTTAGCATAAACATTACAAGCATTCTCAAATTCGTATCCAGCCATTCTCCTCACATTACTAAAATCATCAGCTAAGCAACTCAAATCCAAGCTTCCTTCAACAGGTAATACCATTGCACTTGAACTCTCATCTACTACTTCTCTGACTCTCTTCAGCCCGATGATTGCTCCTTCATATTCCATGTACATGCTCTCTTGGTCCTGCTGCTTCCTTCTCCTCTGTAACTCTTTGACCTGTCTCTCCCACTTGGTTTGATCTATTCAAGTTAATCAACTTGGGTGGACTTACCTGCTAGATGACCTTGCTGGATGTACAACAGTGTTAGCAGTTTGGCCTTTGTTCTTCACAAAGTTTCTGAGTAGTGATTGCGGGGGCATGTTTTCTCGGGTATCACCAATTTGTCCATAAAGTCTATGGCTAGAGAAAATATTTTTATTAAGTAAAGGTGGATTTAGGTTATTAGAAGTTTACAACACGGAAATATTATTAGAAATTTTTACAATAAAAATAGCATTTCTCTATGCTTTACGAAGAGTTATTAGTAATCAGATGCTTAGAAATTACAAGGCAGGAGACAAGGCTTTTAATAAAAGAAAAATTATTGTATTAATGAGCGGAAAAGCATCAGCTTCAATTAACAAAGACTCCTAAAGGGCTGGGAAATGCCTTAGATATTTTTTTGTTTAGAAAAGAAATATAAAGATAGAGAGCACAAAACTGAAGTTTTATTTCAAATTTGTAAATATAATATCCTTTAAACACCCAAGATTTGAATGATTGGGTAGACAGGAGGAAGAAAATTTTATTTTAAGAGATGCACTTATAAGTAAGGCTAAGGAAAATTATGAGTTTAAAGCCAATGAGATGCAACTTTTAAAGCAAGACTCCCATTATTAAATTAAAGGCCTTCACATTATGATATTAAGTATATAAAAATTCAATCTAGTAGATTAGTATTATGAATGCCTACCATTCCTAAAATTAGAAGGAACTAAAACGTAAAAATGCAGTTTCACAAAGTATTTTCCTTGCACATAAAGACATAACTAATTAGTTAAGCTTTGATAGATGTTACTCTAATCAAATACAAGTAACAATAATTTTCCAGGGCCAGTTATTATGCTGGCTAGAGAAAGAAATGTCAATTAATATTAAAAAAAGTTAATTTAAAGAGAGGCAGAATTTGGGATATCACTGATTGAGTGGTTTTACTCAGAACGTCAATTGCTTAGTTGAAGAAGTAGAGAGGAATGAATGTTCCGGACTTACAGTGCAAATCAGAGTTAATTTTAGCCAAAGATTTCGTGATTGAGTTGAGGAGATCTGTAAATTTTAGTTCACAATGTCTTACCATCCTTCTGCTTGTTCAAAAAGATATTATGATCTTGTAGAGTTTTGATAGCAGAGTACATTTTATCATGGTGATATTTTTGTTTAGTGTTATACTTCTCAATTTCAGAAGAATATTTATTAAATTTTTTGTCTAATGCTTAAATCAAAATATTACCAATATTTGAATTGAACTTTTTAACAACCCTCTTGTTATTATTTTGTCAATCCATAGAATTTTTCATATATTTAATTGCATCATCAGAAATTTCTTTCCATCTCTTAGCTTCTCTCCTAAACTTCAGATGCTCTTTTCTATATTTCTCTTTAGCATCATTAGCTCTTCTAAGTAGAAGAATATATTCAGATTGAAGTTTATCGTAAGACATTTTATTGTCTTGAATATCAGCCTGTTCTATTATTCTTGAAAGTTCGAGATTCTTCTCATCTCTAAATTTAGAAAATTTATTATTAATCTGTGTAATTTCTTTCTTGAGTTTTCTAATTTCCTCATCCTTTTGTTCAACTATTGTTTTCAATTCAGACATCGAGCTAGCGTAAAGTTAGAACAAGTTTTGAGTCTAGTTTCCCAAAATATCTGTAAATTTAACAACAAGCCTTGTTCAGCATGATCCACAGCTCTTGAGTTGACAAATAAATCAAAAAATGCAAAAGAAGGATAAAGAGTATTATTCAGGCTCTTTCATAATAGTCTATCTGAAATAATCCAATTATAGGGTTATTTAGTATTTTATTTCGACTTAATTGGGCAAACTTACATTGACTCCTGAGAGTTTTTGGGGAAATTCTTTCAGCTTTGGACTATTTTGGTCATAACAATGGATTTTAAGTAACTTACTCTGCTTAATAGGATCTTCTTTGTGAGAAATTGTAGTTTCTAGTCTTTGCAGCATATTCTTAATATTTTCAAAAGCAATATTTGAATCTTTTTTCTTTGAATGGATATTCTTTATCATATTTTGATCGAATTTCTTCTTTTTGCAACTTTTCAAACGTTTTTCTATGTCTTAAAACAATGCACCATACTTGGAGAGGCTTTTAAAGAGCTTGAAATTTGATCTATTTCGCTAATGAAGCCTAGGATTTGGATAACCTCAGCAACATCTTTATTAGTAATATTTCTATGATTCCAAATGATTTGTAATTTTAACTTCATTTTACTTTTCTTCAAATGTGAATCCGAGAAGAACTTTAATACTTTATTAAAATATTTCCAGAATCTACCATCTGCCGAGTTCTTCCTCTCCGTTCTTAACCTCAAAGCTATTCTATAAATCCTTGAGCGCTTACCTTTGGCTAGTTTATGGCACTCGAGTTTTTGGAAGTCGAAGACTGAAGATATTTGGTTTGCATAGCGACTGGATGAAGGTGAGAGGGAACTTACCCTAGTTCGAAGAAGGTGTTGCCGGAGTGGTCTGTGTGTTCGTACATATACTCATTATTCTCCTCTTTATAAATTTTCAAATTGATCTTCCTCTATTTCGATTGTTGAGAAAGGATAGGAATAGTGATGGGAGTTAGGAGGGGAATAGATTGGGTGATTGGGGATGGATGGGAAGGAACAGGTTTGGGGTAGTGGGTAGGTTGGGGTGTATGGGTTTAGAGGGGATTGAGGGTGGGAATGTGAGGTTGAAGGGGGTTGGGGAATAGAGAAGTGTATGGGTTTTAGTGGGGTTTAGGAGAGAGGAAGAGAATGTTGGTTCAGAGGGCAAGAATGTATCATAAGGATGTTATGTTTATTATAATTTGAACAATTTTGTGTGTTTTAATTCTGGTATCAGTTAGATTAAAATATTTATAAATTTCAGAGAATACAAACATATAGGCGAACTTGGTCTTCGAAATATTTTTCAAAGCCTTTTATATTAATCTTACAAATTACCCCATTTATACTCACTATTTCAAATAAAAAAATGATTCTATTGCATAGTTTAGTCTAAAAGAAAAAGCAGTGTAAGAAAATGCCCAAATAACAGAAGAGAAAATTTTATCTAAAAATAGAAAATTCTAATAAACTCCACATCATATCGTGAATTATCTGTAATGCCACATTAAGTCTTAAAGCACTATTAATTATTTGTCCGAAGCCGCAAGCAAATAAAGAAATACAAATGGTAAATATAATTTAGAATAATTATGTAATACAAGAAGCTATAGTAAGAATTTTGATGATAAATAAAAGTTACAAATAAAAATGATATTGACTCTCAAAATAAAAATAGCCATTACATCTTATCTTAGAATAATTTTCAAATTCCCATTACTAACAAAGCAATCCCATGCTTAACTATCAAAAAAATCTCCAACTGCACCTACAATATTTTTGACTATCTCTTTTGCCTCTTTATTATTCTTCATGTAATCTTCATACTCCTTCAATATCTTTCCTATACCAAATTTACCCATTTTCTTCCAAAATCTTTAAATTCCTAAAATTCTTTCTCAAATTCCCTTCAAGACCTAAACCCTTTCAAAACTCTAATCTGAGAGCCTCTCCTATTCTACTCTTTCCCTCATGTACAGCCAACGGGCTTTAGGCTGGACTCAAGTGTAACTTTAGTTAAAATTTAGTGAGATAGAGGATGAAAGGATTTTTTAAAATTTGAAAATTTTTTACTTTTGAGTGAAGGAAGTTTTTGTACAAAAACCATTACCCATCATATCAAACTTACCCAAAAGGTTAAACCTCCCACAACAACATCCAACCCATAAACCCCATCAAAATCTTCCCATTCCAACCTCTATCCCTCACACCTACCTATCTCAAATCCTCTATTCTTCTTATCATTCTCCAAATCCGTACTGTGCTTAGTCTCTCCATCAGTCTGCTGTTCCTGTTGTCCGTCCTCTTCTATTAGGCCAGGCTGCTTTCTTTCTTCTAAATATGTGCTTTGGCTTGAGTGGTAGTTGAGGTCTTTGTCTCTGTCGGATTCGAGGGTTTCGAAGTGTTCTGTATGAGTTTAGGTAGAGAAGTGGAATTTAGGAGTAGAAGGTGGTATATTATTTTCCCAAATCTAACCCTAAAATCTAATCCAACTACAATTTTTCCTGAATTCATAACATCCAGTAATGCCATCTGACATCGCACCAGTTAAACTATCATCAAAAACAGTATAACATCTATTCAAACTCCAATTCTTACCTCTCAAACTCTTTCAAATCCCCAAAACTTCACTCTGGTCACAACTCTCCTCAAAATATTCCACCTGTTCTGAATCACTATCCATCCGTTCTACATAAAATCACTCACTATTCCACTAAAATCTCCCCCATTATTCCCAAAATGCCCAATCAGTCAACCAACTACTAAATTTGCCAAAATTTAAAAACAAGCAGAAATTGAATGAGACTGAGTGAAATGAGAAAAGTTGTTCTGTGCTTAAGGAATATTTTGGAGTGAGTGGAGTTGTAGTAGCTTAGTTTGAAGCTTTCTAGTCAAAATTTGTGGGAGTTTTGGTGAGATGTTTTGGTAGAATAGAAAGAGTTTTGAGGACTAGGGTGATAATTTTTTCTAAGTTAAAAGCTATTTAGCACAGAATTTAAGAAGTAGTTTTAGAATTTTTGATGCACACATAAGAAAATTATTAATAAAGAAAATGATTCTTTCTCAGAGAAATATAGTTAAGAAATTTTCCAAATTTTTGCATACAATAAGATAGTTGATTAAATTGGGATTTACATCCTCCTAAGTTAAAAATGTATTAAAATTTTACTCTATTTTATAAAACTATGAATTAGAGAAATTGAAGTTTCAAATAGCTGAAGCTGGAATCTAAGAAAATCAAACTGATTAAAGAATCAGAAGTAAAGTAATAATACAAGAAATAATTTGTAATACTAGAGTGACAAAATTAGTTCAATAGAATCTGAAAGATCACGATATTAATTCTGAATAAATCAAGAGCTTCTTCAGCTCTATCCAAGAAATTTTATTTGATTGAGTATTTAAATTCGCACTGAGATCAGGTAAGAATCTTTTATGAAAATTTCCTGATAGTTATACACTAAAATAATTTACTAAAGAGCTTCAGACTCGCTATAAATTACAGTTTAGTTAAAATTATTTTGAGGTTCAGAGGGCTCTTAAATGAAAATCAAGTTTTGATATCTGTAATAAAGAAATTGATTATAGTGAAACATAAAAGAGATTGAGGCTTGTTATTTGGACCTTTCTTCCTTTCAATAAATCTAATGATTGAAGAGAAAGTCTTAGTTCATTTTTAAGAGTGCTCTTTCTGTTAACTTCTCAAATTAAAAATTTAGAGTCGTTGTAAAAGATAATATTAACTAGCTAAATCTTAATGTGATCTGAGTTATCATATTTGTCAAAATTTAGGATACTTCAGAAAGCTGACAATTGAAATTTCAAACTTGATAAAAACAGAGAAAGTTTGATTTTTTGTGAACTATTCTGAGCATAATTCAAATACTTCTGTCGATATGATATTTCTCCCTTTAAAACTAGTGAAGTTTGAACCAAAGTTCTAATCAAAATTAAACCTCTTAAGCTCTTTGATAGTCTGAATAACTTTACTTAAAACGGGCATTCCATATGATTTTCAACAAACACTTTTCTTGAGCTCTTCAACGAAGGTATAATAGAAATAACTTCTAAAGTACTATTTAAGTTCAAAAACTTTGAGTAAGCTCCAACTAATACCAAACGTTGCCCCTAAATGTATACCTTGAACTTAATGCTAACCTTAGCTCTAAAGATTCTGTGACCAAGAAGAGAGTCAGCTTTAAGAGCTATGACTTTCTCTGGTTACAAAAATTTATATTTAAGAGTTAAAGTAACTTCAAAATAAACCTTACTTTGTTCAGAGTTATTCTGTGTCAGATAGTTATGCTTCTTTGTCAAATGCTCTTTTTGGAAATTAAAGCTTTGACTCTGAAGCGACTTTTCCGCTCTTTTTCTGGATGGAACACGCAGGTTTTTGAGAGGTTTGTTAGATAAGTGGTTTGGAGTACTTCCACGAGAGTAATATCTTGTCTTGGTTGCAATATTTTTACGTAGAGTTGTTCTTTCTCTCTTTTTGGAGAGTTTAAATTTTAATTCTTTATTGAACTTCATTGGTCTGATTTTATTTTGGTTTGGGATATTTTCAGCAAAGATTTCTTCACTGTCTGGGATGATATTTTCATAAGTAAGAAGTTGTTTTGGAACATCTTTTTCAATTTCTGAGGATTCATTAACAAAGCTTGATACATTTCTGGTTAACTCAAATTTTATTTCTTTTGGGTTAATTTTGCTCATTTTCTGAAGCTTAGAAATGAGTTCAGTGTAAAATTTGCTATCGACAGAATCCAAGCTTGGTCAATGAGGTAATTCTGGCAGGTTTGGGACATTAATAACCATCTCTGAATCCTTTATTGATAACTTTGATGCTTCAGAATTGTCCTCTTTTGAACTTTTGTGCTCTATAATATTAGTAATCCTGAAATTTTTGTAGCTTACTTAATTTATCTGCCAGCTTTACTAATGAATCTGAAGCTAGTTGTAGTTGTTCTTGAGCATTACTTGATGGATTTCCATGCTTTATTTTTGACTTTATTTCGAAGGCTATATAAAGTTAAGATCAAATTAGTGCTGAAATAAAAAATAAAGTTCTGACGAAAACCTTAAAACCACCCACAATAATTTTAATCTCAATTGGATAGATCGAAATTCTTCCCCATTGAAAGAGGATTTTATTGAAAACATCCCTCTGTCCACTCCCTAGAACAAAAATTACCATTTATATCCAGCCACTCTTCCTCCTCTTTCCTCTCATCTCCATCAAATCCCCTCTCAACACCCCCTTCCAGTACCTCCCTCTCTTCCAAAATCCTTCTCTCTACCTTCTCAGTCTCCTCTCTCACTCTCTCTCCATTCCTATCAATAACCCCTTTGACCTCCTCCACTCTCTTCTCCCTCTCTTCAAATCCTTCCGGCAGTCCTTCCAATCTAACTTCTTCCATGCTCTCCTTCACTGCCATACATTCTTCTAAGACTCTATTCTCTTCCTGGTCTTGTGCTTTATTTAAGAAATATGTGGTATCTTCAGAGTTTTGGGTTTTAAGTTCTTCAAGGGGCTTTATTGGGTTAGGGTGTTTTGGAGGTGAGGTGTTTGGATTGGTGACTGGGGGGTTGGATGGGGTGTTTGTGGGTGCGGTTGGGTGCGTGAGCGTTCATTTTGGGGTATGGTGATGGGATAATGGGGATTATTTATATAAAGTTAGCATTTTTTGAGAATATAGGGGTTTTGGGGTTTTGGGGTTTTGGGG